TCATATCAAATTATTTCCCGATACTTGTCGCGATCGCATTTAGAAAAGGAATTTGGCGAAGAGTCTCGCACTATTAAATTACTGTTCAAGTTCCACCGTGCGAATGATAACAAAGAATGGTAACACATAAAAAATAAAGCACAATGTGCCGTCAAGGCTGAATACTACATTATTGATAATTCGTTGCCGTAATATTTTATCTATCATATGTATATGTTTCAACCGTGTTCTATCAATTTCGAAAGAGATTTAATCATCAACAACCATTAATTAATTCTTTCAAATTCATATGATCGCATGGTAATAGATATATTGTCACATTTTCGCAAAATGTCATACGAAAAATCGTGATATCTTTCGCAATATCGGTTTTATCGAACAAATAACATTAAGAATGTTTTTTTATATTTCGTTGAATTTCATTCAGAATTTTAATTAAAAAGCAGGAAATGCAAGAAAGCTTATATTTTTCTCGAAGGATTTAGATGTGTATTTATCGACATGCGTGAATTTTATTTAAAAAGCAGGAAATGCAAGAAAGCTTATATTTTTCTAGAAGGATTTAGATGTGTATTTATTGACATGCGTGAAATTATGATTCCCGAAACGCGGAAGTCAATTTTATTATAATTATTATATTTTCTTATAGTTTCAACCGTGATTTATTGATTTCGAAGGAGTTTTAATTGTTAGTAACGTTAATTAATTTTTTCACGTTTGTATGATCACGCGATGATAGGAATACTATCAGCTGACAGATTTTCACAAAGTGTCATATGAAAAATCAGGATATCTTTCGCAATATTGATTTCAGCGCAAAAATGCTAAAAGTTTCTTTTATATCCCGCGGAGTGGTACTCAGAACTCTAAATAAAAAATTGGAAATGTGAAAGAATTAATTTTTATGAGTCTTAAATATATCTGTAAATGTGTTATAAAAAATTGTAATTTCCGAAACGCGGAAGTCTATTCTATTATAATTATTATATTTTCCTATAATTTTAACCGTGTTTTTTCGATTTCTAAAGAATTTTAATTATTAGCGTTAATTAATTCTTTCATGTTTATATAATCGCTTAGTGATAGATATATATTGTGAGGTTTTTGCGAAATATCATACGAAAAATGACGATATCTTTTACAATATTGATTTTATTGTAAATATAATAAGAATATCTTTTGTATCTCGTGGGATGCTATCCAGAACTCTAAATAAAAAATCGAAATTGCAAAAAGATTTACCTCTCTCGAAACTTGAATATATCTTTATATTTACAAAAAATCATGATTTTCGAAACGCAGGTGTCTATTTTAATTATTATAATTTTCCTATAATTTTAATCGTGTTCTTTCGAAATCGAAGAATTTTTAATCATTAACAGCATTAATAAATAATTTATAAATTACTTACCCCATATCGTTGTGTCGTCCGTTACCCAAACCATCTTTTCTTCTCTTGCTCATTTTTGTTGTTATCTCATGGCACTCACACTCATTCGGAAACACGATTAATTATAATTAATCGTATATGTAACAATCGCGAAACTTCGCACGGCACTTTCTATCGCGGAAAAGTCACACGAGATATGCACTTTATTATTATTGCGATACAGTTTGTCGTTTATTAAAGATTAATTAATTATTAATTGTAATAATTACATTAAGAGCAAATTATGTGACAATACTAGCCGCGATTACGTTTATATATTACGTTTATATAATAAAAATTTGATAATATACAAAGCGTTTCGCACTAGTACATTACTCCTCGAGTGTCGTACGAATGATAACAAGATCATAACACAAACAATAGCGCCCTAAAAGTCACCAAGGCCAACACATAGTTTTTGATAAAGTATTGCTGAAAGATTTTATGTAATATAACATATATACGCGAATTATTAAATTATACACGTATTTTAAATTATAGATTAATTAATTATTAAACGTTTGATGTATCACGAGATCTTTTATTGTTAATGCTAATTACTTGAATTTGTGATTAAATTGTTTCACTGCATGTTGTCAATTTGAATCATATTTAGATTGTCGAAAAACCGAACGATAAAACATCGAACAAAATATAATTTAAGTATTTTAAAGAAATAATGGTAAATATGCATATTAGGTTACACCTCACCGATGACTTTGACCTTGACATATGTTGTCAAAGACATGACCCTTAATTGTTTAAACGTCGGTTTAAACTGGCAGTACCGAGCCAAGCGCGGTATAAAAAGCGCAAACACTGCTTTATTAATTACTAAATATACACTAATAATATACACTAAAAATATACACTATACGCGGACGTTTTGGCCCTTTTTTGGAGCCATCTTCAGCGCGGAAACAAAATAATACAGTCTTACATAACTAAACGCAACTGCGACATTCGGTGATGCATCCCGTGGATCTCTTACGCAACCGGCGACATCCCATCATCAAGAGAATCCATGTCCTTCCAAAGATAATTACTTGAGTTTCTTGGGTGGTAGATAGACATGGCAGTACTTATTTTATTTAATCTATAAGTGAGTTGGTCGGTATAAGGCGGATGACCGAACGAAGTATTTAAAACAGTTGTGATGCTTACAAATGCACAGGTTGACACCGACCAATCGTAGATGTAATCGGAGAACTACACTCTCCAACTCTCGGAGGAACAATGACACACGGTAAATATGACATAATGTTGGTTTAGCCAGGTTGTCAACCAGACGTTAATAAACAATATACAAAATCACAAACACGCAAATAAATAACACGATCCCGTGACAAAGTGGAAAGATTGACGCAAACGGTAAAAAGTAACAAAAATAATAATAAAGTCGAGAATAATAAAATTAAATTGTTGACAAGTAGCGAAGCTTAGCAACGGTAACAATAAATACCTAAAAGCGCCATGAATATGAAATAGTGACAATCGGTAAACATTCCGAAAATAAATTAAATAAATAATCTTGTTTGTGTCAATATGGTAAAATGTGAGAAATAAGCAACGATATAATAAATAAAACAGATCTGATATCTAAGTCAAAAAAAGCTATTGTTGATAACAAGGTTGTCAAATAAACTAAAAACCGCAGAATACAGTAAACATCTTGGATGATAAACTTCTTCAGAAGGTGTCAAAACAGTAAAATGATCATCTTAATTATAAACATATAAATAGAAAAAAATATAAAAAAGTAATACATATGGAAACAAAGAAATAAAAATGTAAATGTAAATATGTGTAATAAGATCATATTCGTTATCCAATACCTCCACATTGTCCCATTCAAAATCATGATCGAAAGACATCCTGTGATCGGTAATGACAGAGTGACTGGTCGTGCTTCTACGAATATGGTTTTTATGTTCAGCTATTGTCGTGTGTAATTGTCTCTTTGTCTGTCCTACGTAGGATGCATCGTAGTTATTGCAATTGATCTTATAGACGACATTGCTGCGAGCGGTTTGTGGGCAGAAATCTTTGTGTACTTTGATAAACTTCTTCATTTTATTAAGGCTGCGGTAGGAGAGTTTCACATTCAAGTCCTTGGTTATGTTTTTAAATTGTTCAGAAATCAAAGGAACATAAGGAATTGTGAAATATGAAACTCTCTCGTGTTCTTCCTCATGTTTTTTGTTGTCATAATTGGCGTTGATGTTTCGAAAAAGTGTTCTGAGGCGTTCATGGCAGGTATCAAAAATAAACTTGAGAGGATATTCATTATCCAACAAGATTTTAACAATCAATTCAAAGTTTTTTTGGTGGAACATGGGGTGTGAAAGTCGAAACACTCTGTCGATTAAACCAATCACAGTACCCTTCTTCTGGCAATGGGGGTGATTTGACATGAAATGTAAATATCTTCCAGAGAATGTAGGTTTATGGTACCAATCAAACGTCAAATAATTGTCATTAAAAATCATGGTAACGTCCAAGAAGTTAAGTCTGTTTTTTTCCCCCACTTCCATCGTAAATTGTAGACGTGGATGGAAGGAGTTAAAAATGTGTAAGGTGTGATTGAGAAGGGTGGGGGGGGGGCGCCAAAGCGATGTCATCTACATATCTAATAAAAAAAGGGGGAGTAAATTTCAAGGTTTCGAGAGCTCTGGTTTCAAGATCTTGAAGGACCATGTCCGCGATAATCGGAGACAATGGCGAACCCATGGGCGTACCGAATGTTTGTAGGTAGATTACTCCATTAAAAGTGAAAAAAGTAGAGTCCAATATAATTCTAACGGCGGTAATAAATTCAAAATGTGAAACGTTGTAATTGTTATAGGTATGATTCCATCTAGTAGAAATACTATCAATCGCCATATCAGTAGGAATATTAGTGAATAGAGAAATGACATCTAAGGAAATGAGAAGAAATTCGTCATTAACATTTATATCAGCGAGTTTTTTTACTAATTCAAAACTATTGTTGATGTGACTGTGTGCGATAGGGAGGCTTTTGAACAATATGAATAAAGGAAGCAAGGTTGTAAAACGGACTGTTAAGGGAAGAGACAATTATTTGCGATTTTCGTAATAATTATTAAGAAATTAATTTAAAAAGATGGGCCAATCAGAAGCGCGCGGCGAGAAGAGACTTCCTACCCAGGCGTTGCTAGGTGCGCGGTGAAACGGTGGGAGGGGCGCTGTATACGGCTACGTACGAGCGAACGCTGAAGCCACGCATCTCGAACTATTCTCTCTCTCTCTCTCTCTCTCTCACTCTCTCTTTCTCTTTCTCGCGCGCGCGGCATAGGAAGCAGAGTTGGGCAAAAATCTAATTAACAATTACAAATTTCAATTACAATGTAATTCTTAATGCAATTAATAATTACATTTTATAATCGTTTTCTCGCCGTTGGCTTCTGAGCCATATAGTTCCGATAGGCGGCTGATAGATGACAACGGTGTCGCTTGGAAAATTATTAATTTCTTAATTTTCGATAAAAAATGCAATAAATCATGAAAATAATGATGGAGCAATGCGAAGCGGAATAATTTTTCAGTATTGTCGATATTGGCAGTGCATATCGGCGCATATTGGAACACACCCATCGTTGCATGCGCACTAGCAGTCGATCGGTAAACATTCCGGATGATGCACGTTTGCGTGATTTGACGTATTTGACAAATTTTGGAGAAATTCCGTATGTGGAACGTCAGTTGCGATTAGGATCAAAATCCCAGTGGAAGATAAGATCTCATTTTTTTTTAAATCCTTTTTTTTATCATGGACACGGATAGACCTCTGCACGAGGATTGGAAGAAACGGGTATATATGCAGGCTCTCGTTTGTCAAATACAATATAATTGGAAGCACTAGAAATGTTCCGCGATTCTACATTACATATATTATTATATTATGCGTCTACATAAATAAATTAGATGAGTTTTGACATATGCAACTGAATGCATTTTAATCCTGCTTTTTAGTATTTAATTATATTATTTAAAATATTTAAAACATATTAATTATATACAATATGTTGTTATAACTCTGTTGACGCATAGAAATGTCATCTTGTTCAAAGCATAATGATATTACATTGATCTATCTTTATGTATCTATAATTATCAAACAATCAAATTTTTATATTTTTTTTTATATTTATTTTTGTATTTTTATCTTTTTTTATATTTTTTTTTTGTATTTTTAGGCTTTTGTAGGACCACTACCGGATAGTTTCTTGAGAATAGAAGAACGCAATGCGCAGTTGCAGCAGGAAGCGGCAGATCAGCAAGCTGCTCTAGCTCTCCAACAGCAGATGCAGAATATGTCGGTAACTCATGATCCACGAGTGGGCAGGCTTAATATAACAATTTCTCAGGTAATCTTATTTTTTTTATATGCATAAGATATACCTACCATTAATTGACTTATATAAATCAACATCGCAGCTACCTATACTTTCTCATGTTAAGAACCCGTTTTTTTCTAGGCCAAATTAGTAAAAAATTATGGAATGACAAGGATGGATCCATATGTGAGGTTACGAGTGGGACATGATGTATATGAGACACATACAGACTCGAATGGCGGAAAAAATCCACATTGGAACAAAGTGATTCAGTGGTAAGAATATATATACATATTCTGTTTTCACATATCTGAAGATACATATATCTGCCATAAATGTTTAAACATTTATTTCATTGTAGCTCCCTTCCACCTGGAGTTACTCAAATATACATAGAAATTTACGATGAGTGTTCCTTCGTGATGGATGAATTGATTGCGTGGGGTCATATAGAAATTCCACCACAAGTCATTCAAAAAGGAGAGACACACGAAGATTGGTATATGCTTAGTGGAAAACAGGGAGAGAATCAGGAAGGCATGATCAATTTAGTTTTTAGTTACATGGTACATACAATAGTTATCATATATCTTATGTTAATTATATTTATATTATTGCTTTTGTGTATTTAAAACAACAGTTTGCTTTGAATCAAATTTAGAATTTAACTGTCATTGTAGTTTGCATGCTTGTGATATTAACCCTTAAAGATCATATATGGATCATTTTGATCCTATCAATATTTTAACAATAGAATATCTTGAAGGCCTTAATCAATACCAAAAGTTTTATACTTTATTTCTTTAACTTTTATTGTATATGATCATTTTCTTCAGATGTCAAAAAATATATATAAGTTTTTGTAGATTTTTCCAAGCACTTTGAGACAGTTAGAAATGGGATAAGATTGTGACCCATATGTGACCAGGAATAGAGTAAAAAAATGTGTGACAAGGGTTAATATTTAGTACTATTAAGGAATTATTTTTTTTTTTTTTTAGGAATTTACTCAAATATTTTCTTTGTTTTTTTATGGCGTTTCTATTATAGAATAAATTGTATCCATATTCTTCGATAATGATGGTTCCTTCTGCAACGATGGTTCCTTCTGCAACGATGTTCGGCATGCCGAATTATGCCCCAGTAACTGTTTACACAAAACCTCCGGCTGTTGCCGCACCAACAGTTGTACCAAGTTCTTTGCCAAATGCTGAGGTCGAATTAAAGCAGGTATTTAATGTATAATTCACAATACAATTTTTTATCCAATGTTCCTTTTGTTATGTGCACACATAATTTTAACTATACTTTGCAGATTGCAGAAATGTTTCCAAACGTTGACAAGGAAGTTATCAAATCAGTATATGACGCTAATTACGGCAAAAAAGACGTTACAATTAATTCGTTGCTTCAAATGTGCGAATAAGTCTCAATTTTTTTATGTAGTTTGCCATATATAATTTTATTAAATATCCTTTATTAATAAGTATTCTTCTGGAATATAATATACGAAAATCTAATTTGTAATACTTCCATACGTAATAAGAGCAGAATATATTGTTTTAGTATAAAATGATATTCTTTTGAAGAATAAGCATGTTTTTATTTTTAACATAACATTCTTATTGTGTTTTAATTAATAACTTTTGTTATATGTTATTGTTACTTCAGAGTTTATGTTATTTCCCTTATTTCTCTACATGTACAAGTATTTATTTTTTGATTTTGCGGGAGTACATGATATATATAATCTATTCCGTTCTGTATATAATTTAAATACACATTAGTGTATTCTACAAAATTGTAAAAAGATATACGCTTAATTGATAATTGCATATAAATTGTAATAAATGTTATATATATATATATATATATAATTTGTACAATTTTATCCATATCAGAGGCATAAAACAATCCGAAAGTGTCAGGGAATATTAAAAATTTTATATATAAACGGTAAAGTAGCCATAAAAATAATTAGTATTGAATATGTATTTCTTATTGTCGAATTGCAAGGCATACGGCCGGCTTCGGATTGACAAGCACATGCTTCAACGGCAAATCCTTCAATCTAAAAATATATTATAGTATATTATTGAATAATATTAATTTATATAATCACATAACTACAAAAAATGTTCATTATGTAGATTTTATGTATGTACACACATACATACATACACACACATATATATATAATATATGATACATACATATGTAACATAACAGCCTGATGTAACTGCTATTGCCTGGTCTTCTATGACTTTTCCACAAAAATAACTGGCGTTTATAACTACAAATAATATTGATATATGTACAAATCATGCATTTGGATTCTATAATTTCCTGTTTTGTTGTAAAATATATTTACTTTTTCTATTATATACATATGTATACTTTATGCAAACACTACAATCAGATTCCAGTGGCTCAAGACAATCTGAGTTTTCATTATTTTGTATGTCGTTCCACAGTTTAGTTGTATTTAGTTCTGTATAATCTGAAAGAAATATACAGAGAATATTAATTAATAACTGAAAAAATAAACGTTGAAAGCCCAAATTATACTGTATAATTATACTCACTTAATATAGGTTTTTTACAAGGAATATTTGGATATTCTTCATTGTAGACTGTGCAATCTCTCTCACCCCTTGGGATCCATGTAAACTTGAAGCATTGTGGTTTGTTGGAACCTGTGTCATTATATAAAAGTAGATTCTGATTAAAAAGAAAGAAAGAGAAATTATAGAAAATTGATAAATCTGTAAAACGTTCAATGAGATAAACTGAATGTGAATTAAACAAACCAGAAATATCAAATAGTTCTATATCATTGCTCTATATATAACTTATTTATAATCCATAAACGAGGGTGAATCGAAAAGTAACTTGGTTCAAAACAATAGACAATAATTTTAAATTCAAGTTGTATTTTATTTATTTATTTTTTTTTTTATTTATTTATTCAATTTTATTTATTTATTGTTTTATTTTATTTTATCTCACATAGCGAATACATTAACCAAGTTACTTTTCGATCCACCCTCATAGATATATCAAAGTAACATTTTTAATACAAAATATAGATTAAAAATAAAAAAA